GCACTGAGGTGCAGCCCAGACATTCAGCTCATAGGAATCACATCATGGGGTCTCAGAAGAATCATTATAGACCGGTCCTTGTCCACTAATCTGTTGCTAATTAGCCTTTATCCACTCCGACTGGAAGTAAAGATCAATTTCAGTTACACTTGGTTCTTTGAATGGGGTGGAACAAAAGTGAGTCCAGCCAGGAGGCATGAAATTCCACAGTTCTGCCGTGTTGTCCTCCCATGCTCTGCTGACATCATTGGACTGGTGGTCATCATACTAACAATAGCATTCCTTTATCTTTCACAGTTCAAAAATTCAAACCAAACCTATTGACCCAAACAAACAGGCAAACAATTACCCAGCCAGAATGAAAATTAAAAGCTATTTTTCCAGAAAGGTTTCAAAAGAGCTGTTAGGTTTTGAATGTGCCCATTCCTGTAGAGCAAATATAGTCCAACTGAACCTTACCTCACAAGCCTTTTTGTGACACATAGACATCAGCTTCTGTTAGAGCCTGATGAGACGCTGTCACTGTTAACAGGGGAAGACAGGTTGTGTGACCACATCAAACTCATCTCATTGGACTCCTGTCTCTGGGAGCTGGGAGATAAGGGTGTGCTCTCTGGAGAGAGACACACCTGGAACACATTTGAAAATTAAAAGCTATTTTTCCTGCAGACACACTAACACACGGCTGCCTCAGGATGTCCTCCGGAAGATATTAATACATGTCTACCTCGGGATATCTTACTACAGACTCAATAACACACTTCTGCCTCAGGATGTCCTCCTGCAGACACACTAACACACTTCTGCCGCAGGATGTCCTCCTTCAGACACACTAACACACGTCTGCCTCAGGATGTCCTCCTGCAGACACACTAACACACTTCTGCCTCGGGATGTCCTCCTGCAGACACACTAACGCACTTCTGCCTCAGGATGTCCTCCTGCAGACACACTAACGCACTTCTGCCTCAGGATGTCCTCCTTCAGACACACTGACACACGTCTGCCTCAGGATGTC